TTAAAATGCTTACCTTCGGTCTTCGGTCACTTTTCTGTTTTGAATTTTTAAAAATCACAGCTTCATCGGAATGGTACGAAACTTGGTGACTTATGGCATTTGTAATGTGAACACACAAAAAAATTGAGGGCATGACTCGAGCAGACTAAGTGGTCGTAAAAAAAAAATTGTCACACTTGTGGTCTTCGGTCAAAAATGACCGACCATAGGAAATGAATGGGAAATTGACAAAAACACAAAAATTCAGCGAATTGTGATGGTCTGAATTGCAATCTACAAAGCTGCCACAATGCAGAAAAAAAGTACACAGCAATGACGGGGTGAAACTTTAAAACATCAAGAGTGCAAAACCAACAAATCCACTCACACACACACATACACACACTCACAGACACACACACACATACACAATTATACACATTCAAATGAATTGGTATGGCTATAACCATATAGCCATAACGAGTCAGAAAACTGAAATAAGAGGTTGAAATCAGATCAGACCCAGAAAGATTAAGCTCTGATAAAACATTCCTGTTCATTTTTGTTATATTTTTATAGAATTGTAATGTTTTGTGTAACAAAATGCTTTCTCTGTGTTCAAGTTTGACTGTAGTAATAATAATTCCAAAACTGACGCTTCAAATCAACATTTAAAAAAAAAAAAAAAAAATCTAAACCTTTACAAAACGTTGTCTTTGAAAATGTCTAAATATATATCCAAACCCACAACTTAATAAAAATAAGTATTGTCTAAAAACAATTAGAGAATTTATAGGCCTTTTATATAGAGCTATATGGGAATCTATGGGCTAAACCATGGAATTGCAGATGTTTTTCTTATTTTACTCCCACCAGATGGCACTAGTCTGGCTTAAAAAATTTATTTTAAAGGCATTGTCTCTATTTTAACATGAAATACTGCCATAATTGAAAAGTAATAGAAAATAATTGAAAAAATAATTTGTGTATTATTTTCAATGGGAAAAATTTATCATAATTATTGCATAAATATTAATTAGTACCATGAAATTCTCTCAAAATACAAAAGAAAAAATATTATTAAACAAAAATATGTTACATTGATTTTACTGGGGGGAAAAAGTAAAATTTTAGGTGTCCGGTCACTTTTGACCGTGAAGACCACAGGTGTGACTCCCAAATAAGGAGCACCAGAGGGTTAAACCTACATTTACTGCTTTCAGCACAAACAAGAGCTACTAAATATTTGTCCTCTGAAATCACATTTGAAAGCCTGGCTCTTGGCTCTGGCCTCAGAAACATGAGTGTCTAATCCTCGGGCCGTATCAATCTGGTCTGTGAGGCTGAGTGCAGCGGGAGGAGATTGTCCGGGTAAAATGAAAAGTGCTGATGCCAGGAAGCCCAGCGGTAATACTATGGGCCGCTCAGCTGCAATGAACTTTTCTGAATGAATGATGAAGTAACCATGAGCTAAACAAGCTTACTGTTACAAGGGCATCTGTACAGTAACTTTTGTATCACTGAAATTACATCACAACATTTTTTTATTAAAGTCTAGAATGCCCAAACATGCATGAAATGTAATGGCAGGTGGAAAAATGATGCATAGGCTTAAGACTCAAAGCATGTTGAAAAAATATACTTGAACCAAATAAGTTGCAAAATATCTGCCTTGAATATCCATTACTACAAGTAGCAAACCAGAGAACAAAAAGAAGCACACATCCACCATCCTTTGATACAAATACAAGTTGTGGCTGAAAAAAATCTAATCTAAACACTATAGATACAATTTAGTGCAAACTCAAACTCATTGTATCTGTTCTTACAGCTTACGAGCCAAAACAACATCCTTCATCTTGATAAAGTCTTGTCTCTCGTTATATTCAACACAGACTTTCAACACATCACAATTAAAAACAGATTGAAACTTCAGTTACACAATACACCAACACACAGTGTTGCTTTTCATTATAAAATCACGAAGACATCATGAAAAAATTATAATCGCTTTTTTTTTTCAACATAGCGATCAAGTGAACTCTTTGGTGGTTAGTTTCCTATGGAAATTCTTTTTCAGTTGACACCACAGGGAACAAGAACTAGTATTCAAATTTGAAATTTGAGATCACATGATCTTGTTATGCTGTTGTACTTTGAAAATATTCTGTGATTGGTATAACCAACCACAACATTAAAAACCATTAAACCTAGTTATACTAAAATGTACAATGAGTCACTTAAAACCTCCAAACTTTTAATATTTGATTACTTCCTTCAAAATATTACAAATTAAATACAAATCCAAAATAGGAAGAACATGTATATTAAAATAAAGGTTTGGCAAATCCTACTTAATTACATCTAAGATGTGGGAAAGCCAAGGAGAAATTTTGGGGTCAGTAAGTTTTACTTTTATTCAGTAAGGACACAATGTCTTGATCAAAAGTCTTTTGAATTGTCTAAAAAATATATTATGTTAAAAATAAATGCTGTTCTTTTGAACTTTCTATTTATCAAAGTATCTTGAAAAAAATTTATCAGGGTGTCCACAAAAATATTAAACGACATCAATTTCAACACCGATAATACATTTCTTGAGCATAAAATCATCATATTAGAATGATTTCTGAAGGATCATGTAACATTCCTGTTCATTTTTGTTATATTTTTATAGAATTGTAATGTTTTGTGTAACAAAATGCTTTCTCTGTGTTCAAGTTTGACTGTAGTAATAATAATTCCAAAACTGACGCTTCAAATCAACATTTAAAAAAAAAAAAAAAAAATCTAAACCTTTACAAAACGTTGTCTTTGAAAATGTCTAAATATATATCCAAACCCACAACTTAATAAAAATAAGTATTGTCTAAAAACAATTAGAGAATTTATAGGCCTTTTATATAGAGCTATATGGGAATCTATGGGCTAAACCATGGAATTGCAGATGTTTTTCTTATTTTACTCCCACCAGATGGCACTAGTCTGGCTTAAAAAATTTATTTTAAAGGCATTGTCTCTATTTTAACATGAAATACTGCCATAATTGAAAAGTAATAGAAAATAATTGAAAAAATAATTTGTGTATTATTTTCAATGGGAAAAATTTATCATAATTATTGCATAAATATTAATTAGTACCATGAAATTCTCTCAAAATACAAAAGAAAAAATATTATTAAACAAAAATATGTTACATTGATTTTACTGGGGGGAAAAAGTAAAATTTTAGGTGTCCGGTCACTTTTGACCGTGAAGACCACAGGTGTGACTCCCAAATAAGGAGCACCAGAGGGTTAAACCTACATTTACTGCTTTCAGCACAAACAAGAGCTACTAAATATTTGTCCTCTGAAATCACATTTGAAAGCCTGGCTCTTGGCTCTGGCCTCAGAAACATGAGTGTCTAATCCTCGGGCCGTATCAATCTGGTCTGTGAGGCTGAGTGCAGCGGGAGGAGATTGTCCGGGTAAAATGAAAAGTGCTGATGCCAGGAAGCCCAGCGGTAATACTATGGGCCGCTCAGCTGCAATGAACTTTTCTGAATGAATGATGAAGTAACCATGAGCTAAACAAGCTTACTGTTACAAGGGCATCTGTACAGTAACTTTTGTATCACTGAAATTACATCACAACATTTTTTTATTAAAGTCTAGAATGCCCAAACATGCATGAAATGTAATGGCAGGTGGAAAAATGATGCATAGGCTTAAGACTCAAAGCATGTTGAAAAAATATACTTGAACCAAATAAGTTGCAAAATATCTGCCTTGAATATCCATTACTACAAGTAGCAAACCAGAGAACAAAAAGAAGCACACATCCACCATCCTTTGATACAAATACAAGTTGTGGCTGAAAAAAATCTAATCTAAACACTATAGATACAATTTAGTGCAAACTCAAACTCATTGTATCTGTTCTTACAGCTTACGAGCCAAAACAACATCCTTCATCTTGATAAAGTCTTGTCTCTCGTTATATTCAACACAGACTTTCAACACATCACAATTAAAAACAGATTGAAACTTCAGTTACACAATACACCAACACACAGTGTTGCTTTTCATTATAAAATCACGAAGACATCATGAAAAAATTATAATCGCTTTTTTTTTTCAACATAGCGATCAAGTGAACTCTTTGGTGGTTAGTTTCCTATGGAAATTCTTTTTCAGTTGACACCACAGGGAACAAGAACTAGTATTCAAATTTGAAATTTGAGATCACATGATCTTGTTATGCTGTTGTACTTTGAAAATATTCTGTGATTGGTATAACCAACCACAACATTAAAAACCATTAAACCTAGTTATACTAAAATGTACAATGAGTCACTTAAAACCTCCAAACTTTTAATATTTGATTACTTCCTTCAAAATATTACAAATTAAATACAAATCCAAAATAGGAAGAACATGTATATTAAAATAAAGGTTTGGCAAATCCTACTTAATTACATCTAAGATGTGGGAAAGCCAAGGAGAAATTTTGGGGTCAGTAAGTTTTACTTTTATTCAGTAAGGACACAATGTCTTGATCAAAAGTCTTTTGAATTGTCTAAAAAATATATTATGTTAAAAATAAATGCTGTTCTTTTGAACTTTCTATTTATCAAAGTATCTTGAAAAAAATTTATCAGGGTGTCCACAAAAATATTAAACGACATCAATTTCAACACCGATAATACATTTCTTGAGCATAAAATCATCATATTAGAATGATTTCTGAAGGATCATGTGACACTGAAGACTGAAGTAATTGATGCTGAAAATTTAGCTTTGCCATCACAGAAATAAATTACATTTTAAATTAAAATAGAAATAGAAAACAGTTATTCAAATAGTTATTTACTAACTGTATTTTCGATCAAATAAATGTAGCCTTGATGAGCATAAGAGACTTATTTTATAAACAGTCCAAACATTTGAACGGTATTGCATAAATATCACTAGCTCCTGATTCAGATGATATTCTTCATCTGTGCACATGCATGTTGATGCATTTTGGAAGTCAGTTACCTCTGCTGATCCTTTGTTTCTCTCCGCTCAGGATTCCTGGGGTGTCAATCACACTGATGCTCTCCAGAACAGGGTTGGGCAGCTGGGCACACACAAACCTGAGGGCCAACCCAAACAAACCAGAGTCACACTCAAGGACACTGCAGAAGTCTTCCAAGCACATGACTGGCACACTAACCATCAGTTTCCACACTTTTATGCTTCATTCTTGATTTGAGCTTGTCGTCGTCTTTGCTCTCTCTTCAAACTGAAAATAGCCTATACATTTGTCATGGAGTAAAAATTGCTCTCTGATTTCACACTGCTATAAAGTCCCAAATTTCCAAAACCATCAAGTCGTAGTAACTTGGCATGGAGCAGAGTGCCATAAATACTTATTTTGTTACCATTTACGGCAGTAGTTTGACCAAGCTGGACATAGTAAAACATAAAAAGCAGGACAGACTTCACATTTTTATAGCCTGAGAAAAAAGTCTGCTCCGAGATGCTTTAATAACAAGCCAAAAACTAGTATGCGTGGCTTTTGTGGCTTAGTTTGTGAACTAGGCCCAGAAAAAGTGTGTCATGTTTTGGAGTGAATCACTAAGGACCTGAGGCTATAGGGAAACATTATCCTAACATTATTTATTCTCCTTTTGACAGTCCCTACTATAACACGTTGGACACAAACAACTTGAAACCACTGAAGAGCACATTCTAGCAACTACATTTACAGAACATCTGGCATCAGACCACACGCTAGTACAATATATGTAGTGGATGAGGCCAAATATGAAAGTTAAGCAGGAAAGTTTTATTTACTATGGGAAACTACTCAAAACCAAACTTCAATCTAGTTAAAGAGATATATATATATATATAAATTTGATGCGCTGACGCCAGCCTCAGTCCACTCCTTGTGAAGCTCCCCCAAATTCTTGCTGGTGCACCTTTTCCTACCACACTTTTTCCTTCCACTCAACTTTCTATGAATATGCTTGGATACAGCACTCTGTGAACAACCAGCTTCTTTAGCAATGAACTTTTGTGGCTTACCCTCCTTCTGGACATCTGTCAAGTCAGCAGTCTTCCCCGTGATCGTGTAGCCTACTGACCCAGACTGAGAGACCATTTAAAGGCTCAGGAAACCTTTGCAGGTGTTTTGAGGTAATTAGCTGATTTGGGTGTGACACCATGACTTTCCAATATTGAACTTTTTCACAATATTCTAATTTTCTGAGACACTGAATTTTGGGTTTTCATCATCTGTAAGCCATAATCATCAAAATTTCAAGAAATAAAGGCTTGAAATATTTCACTCTATGAGTAATGAATCTATATATGGGTTTCACTTTCTGAAATGAGTGACAAAAAATATTGACCTTTTTCATGATATTCAAATTTTTTGAGATGTACCTGTATATATATACCATTTTGCTTGCTTTGTCAAATAATTTTTTGTGTAATTCTATGCACTACTAAACCATGTACACTGAGCTGCTGCTATTTGTGAATTTATAAATGATATACTTATCTATAAATAAATCTGAAAACAAGGGCAGTTGTCTCAGGCATTTCAAATTACATAAACCCACAGCCAATGCATGGCATGTAATAGCTCATGAATATGTTTACTATCTCCATGTTACAAAATGTGGAGAGAAAAATTGCATTTGCAGAAATATATCAGAGGTTAAAGGGATAGTTCTCCCAACAATGAAAAATCCTGTAACTATTTGCTTACAGTTATGTCATTCTTTTCTTTGCGTGGAACACAAAGGATAATATTTTTTAAAAATGACCATTTTTGTCCATAAAATGGAGGTCAATATTGTTGTGGCCCCCATTTACATTAATATGGACATTCTTCAAAATATCTTTGTGTTTTGCAGAAGAAAGAAAGTCATACATGTTTGGAACGACATGAGGATGAGTAAATAATGACTAATAGTGCTTGCGTTTCTGGGTGAACTTTTCCTTTAAAGTGCGTGTTGCTGCTCTTCTGACAGAATTACATGAGAAATATTCAAAAATATGCAGGCTTTGCTATTGCAAAAGGCAAAGAGACAATTTTCTCAAGACAAGAAAATTGTCTCAATTTTCTCAAGACAAGAAAATTTGCACAACAAGCAGCACAGTCTGCCAAACCATCAGACTACGCAGTACAGCAAAGACCACCTGCAAAAATAATCACATGCATTCGATTGCATCACTTGGAGGTTTTATAAAGGACTGTTACTCTATCATACACAATTTTATTGTGTAATTTTAAGACTGTGAATGACAGCCTGTTTAATAATATGCTGGTGAGCTCGATGGTATGATGTTGGATCAGACAGCATGAGGAAACTCAATCAAGAGAAGGAATGTTGCCTAGCACTAGCCCCCCTCTGTCACATCATCATAAGACAGGAAGACCATGTTACATATGCAAACCTCTGCCCAGACTAAAGCTCTAAATGTTTCACTCGAAAGTTTAGCTGAACATGTCCATTTTAATAAATACGAGAACTAAAATAAAACACACTGTTTTATCAGTGTTTTATTCCCACCTGTTAAGGAAGGCATTGCCAAAGGCGTTGAGTTTCCGAAAGGGTTTTTTGGGATCCACTACCAGAGCATTTCCTGGTATTAGTCCCTCCATGGTGCCGTGCATCACTGCTATGAAGGAGTCAGTTGTGGGTTCTGGACCAATCCGCATACCAGGGAAGTCCTGCTCCAGAAGATATCTATTTTTAAAAACAATGCACGCACAAATGCATTTAGATGACTGAAAACGCTTCTAATGGCGCTTATCATGTGTAAAATATGACAATTATGTTGTTGATTTGAGAAAGTTTGGTTATTTAAAATCGTTTCAGTTAAAAAATACTGTGTATTCAATATATATGAAGCATTTTTACATATAGAGTCCAAGAACACAGAGAAAGCTCCTTTTCTGCACTTTTTCTAATTGAATTAACTTTTTAAATTTTCAACATAATTTTGTTGGAAATTTGAATAAAAAAATAAGTTAGTTATTTTAAAATAAAGAATCTTAAATGTCTTAATCGTTTTATGTCATAATTTTTAGATTTGTCAATTTTTAAATTGTATAAACTTTTAGTTTATTTCCATGTTTACATAAAAAAAAATCCCTAAATTCCAATGTGTTCTCAGATGTTTGGAACATGTTTATCCACTCTTTGGTGTCCATTCCTGTAATGGAAGCCTCATGTATTGTATTCTTTTTTTTTTTTTTTAAATAAATTAATACTTTTATGATTGATCAAAGGTGACAGTAAATTGATCAAAGGTGACAAAAAATTTATAAAGCAACAAAAATGTGCATTTCAAATAAATGTTGTTTTGACCTTTCTATTCGTCAACGAATCCTGAAAAAAATGTATCAGTTTCCACAAAAATCTTAAGCAATTGTTTTTTTTTTATAAAAATAAATGTTTCTTGAGCACAAAATCAATATATTAGAATGATTTCTGAATTTAGCTGGTAAGACTATGATTCAGATGAGTTCTACTGCTGTTAAAAGGAACAGTGCTAAGATCACACTCTAATGGAGAATGTGAGTTTGCTAAGATGATGTTTACTCTTCTCAGCACAGAGCCATTCAAACAGACCCTGCTGTGGACATGTGACGGCACTGAGACTGTTTGGAAAACAGTGCAGGTAAAAATCAGTCTGAGTAACTACAGGACACTTGGCTTCAACTGAGAACTTATTAGCTGCAGTTTATGCCAGTAACACAAAAGTGTAAACAGGACACTGGTGTCATTTATGATAGGATATTTTGCCATGGCCAATATATGACCCTGGACAACAAAACCAGTCATAAGGGTCAATTTTTTTAAATTGAGATTTATCCGTTGATGTATGGTTTGTTAGGATAGGACAATATTTGGACGAGATACAACTATTTGAATATCTGGAATCTGAGGGTGCAAAAAAATCAAAATATTGAGAAAATCGCCTTTAAAGTTGTCCAGATGAAGTTCTTAGCCATGCATATTACTAATCAAAAATTACGTTTTGATATATTTACGGTAGGAAATTTACAAAATATCTTCATGGAACATGATCTTTACTTAATATCATAATGATTTTTGGCATAAAAGAAAAATCAATAATTTTGACCCATACAATGTATTTTTAGCTATTGCTACAAATATACCCCAGCGACTTAAGTCTGGTTTTGTGCTCCAGGGTCACATATATCTAATACAGAGGAAGTTATCTATTGCTTTTCTGTAACCCACTCTCACAATCATTCCAGTGATATCATAAAACAACATTAAAAAAAATCTCTACCATTCAAACGTTCGGGATCAATATGATTTTTTTTTTAAAGAAATTAATACTTTTATTCAGCAAGAATGCATCAAATTTACCAAAAGTGACATTAAACACACTTATAAAGTACAAAAAATATTTATATTTTTAAATGCAAACTTTCTATCCATTTTATTCAAGAACGCTAAAATAAATGTATCACAGTTTTCAGCATTGATAATAATAAGCACCAAATCAGCATATTAGAATGATTTCTGAAAGATCATGTGACACTGAAGATTGGAGTAATGGGTGCTTACAAAACAGTTACAAAACCCCAGGACCGACAGTGGTGGATGTAGGGATGAAATAATATGTGGCAAGTTCATTTGAGCATTTGAATTGGTCAGCTAGAATGATTGCTCTCACATCCCTGACATTATAATGAAGTGTTTCATGGGCTTTCTCACATTCAGGAAGCACACATAAAAAGCTGAGCTTATTTACTTTCATAGTTATGTGTTCAGTCAGCAGAACAGCCGCTGTGTCCACTGAGGCTCTCATGACCCTGATGAATAATGCACAGGAGGAAAGAGAGCCAGAGCGAAAATAAGGAGGCACATTTGTTATTGCCAGGACAACACCTCACTCTCACATTTAACACTCACCTCAAGCAAAAACACTAATAAAGTAGACTCAAATGAAATGCTTGCTTAATGAAATTGCTAATATATCTACAACTTGGCAATGAATTCAGAATAATGTTCAGGTTAGTCTTAAAAATGTTGAAATGACCACATGAGTCCTTCTAAAAAAGGATATCTGGTATGTCTCCATCCACATTTACATCTCTTAAAGGGGTCATATGATGCGATTTCAATTTTTCCTTTCTCTTTGGAGTGTTACAAGCTCTTGGTGCATAAAGAAGATCTGTAAAGTTGCAAAGACTAAAGTCTCAAATCCAAAGAGATATTCTTTATAAAAGTTAAGAGTCAACCACGCCTACCTAAAACGGCTCGTTCTAACACGCCCCCACATGTCTACGTCACTATGTGGGAAGATTTGCATAACGCCGCCCAAATGTTCACGCAAAGGAAGAAGGCGTAACTTTTATTAGTTCGCGCTGTGGATCGCCGGATCGGCTTTCACCGTGGACAAAGCGGAGTCCAGCCTGGGGTCGTCACAAGTGGTTTCCGCAAGCCCGCCCGCCGCCGTTCACTCAAGCCGGCCTCCGCTCACTCTAGCCCGCCGTGTGTGATGCTGTTTCTCGTTGTGAAAGCAAAACTACTTTGTTTGCCTCGTTTATAATGGGTTTTAATGTTTTTGTCTTGTTGCTCCAGCCGGGACAAGGCATCACAGTATGGTAAAGGGAGTAACATTTCCGTCACACGCTTGAGGTATTCGGCCAATCACAACGCACTGGATAGCTTGCCAATCAGAGCACACCTCGCTTTTCAGACCGATGAGCTTTGTAAAAATCGACGCGTTTCAGAAAGGCGGGGCATAGAGGAGAAACAATAATGTACAGTATGTGGAAAATAATGTGTTTTTTTAACCTTAAACTCCATAAACACATTTCATTACACCAAATACACAAAATAATGTTCTTTTTAGCAACATCATATGACCCCTTTAACTTTTCTACATTCTGGAACCTATTAGTGACAAGTTACTATTGCAATTCTTGAGTCGTTGGAAGTGTCTCTCGTTGCCTGGTGATCTTTAGCAGTCTGTTGCCTTTAATCTTGATCCAATGTAGACCCGTAAACCTTAAATCACCCAGCAGACAACCATCACACCACAGCAGCAACATTGTGTCATACAGATACATCTTAGAGCTGGAGCCAGGCCTGGTCTGTTTACAAGGTAACCGTCTCTGTCAAAGCTAAAATTATAGTACTATGTTAAGAACTTTGTTTAGCATGTAACATCAAGATCTGTATTCAATGAACACAGAAATGAGGTTCTCATGTAAACAGATTAATGATATCTGTAGCACAGAAGTCATGAAATATTTTGGCTTAAACTTCTCGTCCATTACGTTTTAATCTATTTACATGCTTCTCAAACAGATGAATCAGTCTTGCTTCATAAAGCTTTTGTAAAGTTGCACATGTGTTCTCTCAATATAATTAAGTCCTCGTGGTGAACTGACAAGGAGGCATTAACAATCTATAGGATTGTGAGGAATCTCACATGGAACTTGCAAAACTGTTTTTTAGGTGTTACAAATGTGATTGCTACAGTTATTTATATATACAACATACTGAAGAGGCATGTCAAAACATGACTATATCAATAAATCATAAAATCTCACAGAATATTGTGAGATTTTATTGAAATGCTCTATTGTTGAGAGCTTCTCACAGTCTTATTATTATTATTATATTATAACGTATTATCATCAATAACATTATAACATTAATAAATATTACATTAAATACTACTTAAAATATAATTACTTAATGCACATTAAAATAGTTAGAAATGATAAAAAGTACTATATAAGGCGAATATATATTTGTATGTGTGTGTGTGTGTATATATATATATATTTATATATATATATATTACATACAACAAGTATGATGCATTATATAATGTTTCTGCATGTAATGTATAATTTAAATATAATAAAGTGCTTAATTATAAAGTTTCCTGACTGGTGTCTTTAAAGGGCTCAGGACACCAGAAATGGTTTTACAGGAGCCAAAACTCCCATCTTACCTTATGAAGCTCGTTTTGCCAGTGGAATACTGTCCCACCAGGAGAACCATTGGCTTATTGTCAAAATCTGCATCCTCCAAAGCGGGTGAGTGAAACTCGTGGAATTTGTAGTGCTCCTCCAGTGGAAGCAGTTTGGTTTTGTAAAGCTTCTTGAGTCCTTCACTGACAGTCTGGAAGACCTCTGGATCTTTCTTCCTCCTGTCATCGGTACCCAACCAGCTGAACATGATGCAACTCGAGTATAGGCAACCGTAGACGATATACCTGTTTTTTTTTTCTTGTATAATTATTTCACAATATGCGCAAACGAGCCGAAGACCTATTCAAATGAATTGATTTGCACTGACGTCGATGTATTTTAAGAGTCCATTGAAACTGTTCCCTTGTCTCTAGGCCACTCACGACACAAAACGCACAAATGACTAGACCATAATTACAAAATATGATGCATTATATAATATTCTGCTTATATGTTACGGTCGAAAACATGGCCAAAACAGGCTGCCTTTCATTCCGACTTTGTTGGAATAAAAGCGCGCGCCGCTAGAAGCTACAATGTACTACTGAGCAAATGCAAGAGATACAATTTCTATTATGAAAGAAAATAGAAAAGAAAACGAGCGCCAAATCCTCCAGTAGAGCAGATTCACTCACGATGACAGGCGTTCACAGGCTTCCCACTGCAGCAGATTTAAATGCCAGTGCGCTGTAGAAACCCGACACTAGAGGAAATGCCCCACTGGCAAAGCCCCACCCAGAACACAAGAGCTCCAGTCAGGGATGCAGCGCCATTGTAGCGGATGGTGATGGTTGGTACCGCTGCTGCTCCGGTTTTCTTCCAGAGATTCTCATCTACATCAGTAAAATGACTGGTGCATAAAAACATACTTCAAGAATGTTAATGTTAATTTTAATAATACGATATATAATATAATATAATATAATATAATATAATATAATATAATATAATGCCCCAGCATCCCCACGACCCTACAGGACATGTGATTTAGAAAATGTATGGATAATAATATAATATAATATAATAAATATAATATAATATAATATAACAATTTAATATAACGACATTACAGTATAATATTAGTTTACACTAAATACATGCATCTATAATACATTTTTAAAAATCTCATTAACAGATGATCAGTAAGAAAAAATTCATTATTTTTTAGAATTAGAGAAATTTTAATCATTTACTGTAGAACATCTCCTACAATATATGTAAAAAAAAAGCAAAAATATATAATATATATTTGCGTATTTAATGTATAAAAATAAACCTAAACCAAGTGTGGTTGGAAATGTTCACCTAGTGGCAAGCCTTTGTAGAACAATAAACTTGATAATGAAGCATGCTAAAAAAAAAAGGAGGGGGTTATTATATTATAATCTAAATTAAATTATATCTAGCCTACATACTGTATATAATGGTATGTTCAGTTTAGTGTTGATTGTTATAACTTATTCTGTAAAGAAAGACTGAGGTGGGCCGAAAGACCCAATCAAGTAATCAAGCATGACATAATAATTTAAATATACTGAAAGATAAGTCTGCAGGCAACATTCAGCATAGTGGGAGGGTACTATGTACAGTACTTCAGAGCAGTCGAAGAGGATTCAGTAAATATTTTTTATATTTAAATGATATTTCCACAATGACGAAACCTTGTGTAAATGATTTTTTGGGGGCATTTTTGGTCGCTTTAAACACGTAAATAGATTAAATCAACAGAAAATAGAAAGCAAGTCATTTTATCAATTCATGTTTCATTTCCAGCAAATATGAACCGAATACAACGAGTGTAACAGAACATACCACTAGATGCAATAAGACAACGAAACACTAACCTGGGTAGCCCAATTAAAGATGACTGCTGTAATTGATTTTTCAATATTTCTTCCGAGTGTTTATTCTTAAATGTGTATACAGAAATTAACACTGTATAGTGATGTACAATAACATTTGTGGACACTCATTGTCCTTTTAAACTATAAAGTTTTGTGTTTCATAAAGCTGTGGATGAATGTAAACGAAAGCGAAGATACATTGCCTGTCAAACCTTACAAACACTCACGTACATCACAGAGTGGAAACTGTGACTATACGCTTTCACCACTAGATGTCTCTCTCACTCACACAATAGATTTTGATCTTTCATTTCAAAGTTGAATTCAAGTCGAGGACAAAAACATAGGGTAGGATTACTGCATAAACAAATGAAAACAAACTGCTCCTGTAATTAGATCATATTATTATTCCATTCTTGTGAGAGATAATAATTATTGTGCCAGATAATAGATGTAATATGCTGTGAAGCAGTTTCGTCATGTAATGGAGAGCAGAAACAAATTCCTCTCCTTTGTGTTTTTGATGAAAGCAAACAACCATGACAAGTTTTCCTAGATGAGGGGCAGAATTTTTATAATTGAAAGAGGAAGATAATTGAAACCTGGCTGTTTAATATTCAGGACCTGTATTGTATTCCACTTTTGTCCTTGTTAGTGGCTGATGAAGCACAACAGATATGAAGACGCACTTCTGCTAAGCTCTGTTTCATGTGCATGAAGGCCTGAGGCTGTTCGTATTGCTCTCTGAATCCCCATTACAAGAGCCAACTGTTGTTCAGTTGTACTGTGACACAACAGCAGTTCACCTAATGGACGATCAAAGCAAAATAAGCAACCTGTTACACACGATAAGAAGACTTTTGCCCTTGTAGCACTGTGGAAATGTCTTAATTTAACAGGAAACTGCACTGTATCAAATCTAAACAAGTATCAAATACTATTAAAGGGACAGTTCACCAAAAATAGAAATTCTTCATTTATTCACCTTTTTGCATGATTTTTATTTATTTATTTATTTTTTTGGTTACCATTTGGTCACCATTGATTTACACTGTATGGTAAGGTAGTTTTCCTATAAGAACTGTTTTAGCTATTATTAGAAGGATAGTTCATCCAAAAATGATTCATTCTCATGTTGTTACAAAACTTTAAGACTTTTTTTTCTTCTGTGAAAAAGACAATATTTTCAATAACGTGCATACAGCATCATGCATTTATTTTGAAATACTGACCCCTATTCATCTTATTACATGACTACACACACAATAATGGACAAAAAAAATTAATTTGCGTTGAAATTATTTAATTTACTTATTGTCCTATAATTTACCATTAGGCCTATTGTCCTAAAACCTCCGCTACAAAAAAATGAATCAATTTCAGTGTACAAATCAATCAGCCTAGCACGAATAAATAAATATTAAAATAGTATTCTGAAATTTCAGACAATGGAATGCTGCAACTGACCAATCAGAATCAAGTATTGTAGAGAGCTGCGTCTTAATTTTATTTTTGGGTGTGAACTATTCCTTTAACGTAGCCATAAACTTTATGGAAGCCGTTGGAATGCAATCTTGACTGAGGTTGCAGGAGGTATTTTAGTACATTTTGAGGGAACAATGAAAGGAGACAGTCTCGTAAAGCAGAGAGAGAGGTGGATACCTGGGGAGCGCGATGCTCCATCTGTCTTATCATATTTAAGGAATAAATCTCTGGGGCAGCTCGCGCAGACTTGATTTATAATGTGTCATACATCCTGACAAGGTCACCAGGCATAGCATCTATGAGCAGCAGCGTGTGTTTGTGTGATTCTGTCACTTATATGGAGTCCATGGAAGCTATGCAAACCTGCTGCTTGTTTGTGCCATTTCACTCGTGAATTCTGAATCTGGGCAAATCTCTGTATAGTAATATCGCAAATGGAGGTTACTTAAATGAATCTGTCATCCTGCATTTATCTTCTTGTGATTCTGTCAAATGTCCAATTACCTACAGTTCATGGCTGTGTAGCATTACATACAGACTTAATGTATTGATAGGAAAAACATCATTTTCTCTTACTCGCTCCTCTTGAGCTGTGATGTGGGCTGGCGGCTCATTCTGAGTCAAGTCAAGTCAAGTCACCTTTATTTATATAGTGCTTTTAACAATACAGATTGCGTCAAAGCAACTGTATAGCACTAATTAGGAAAATAGTGTGTCATTAATGCAAAATGACAATAGTAAACACTCAATTTTCAGTTAAAGGCAGTTCATCATTGAATTCAGTGATGTCATCATCCAGCTCAGTTCAGTTTAAATAGTATCTGTGCAATCAAGTCGACGATATCGCTGGAAATTAAGTGTCCCCAACTAAGCAAGCCAGAGGCGACAGCGGCAAGGAACCAAAACTCCATCGGTGACAGAATGGAGAAAAAACCTTGGGAGAAACCAGACTCAGTCGGGGGCCAGTTCTCCTCTGGCCAGACGAAACCAGCAGTTCAATTCCAGGCTGCAATTAAAGTCACATTGAGCAGAGGACTCGACTGGTTCCTGTGGTCTTGTCCCGGTGGCCGTCTAGGAGACAAGGTCTTTACTGGGGATCTGTCTCTGGGGATCATCTAGTTGTCCTGATTTCCGCTGACATTCAGGGCTGTTAGAGGTCATCTCTAGGTGCTGATCCACCATCTGATCTGGATACAGACTGGATCTGGTGG